TTTTATCAGAAATGTTATCTTAAGAAGCCACAGTTATTCCAATGTGGCAGTGTATAGTAACTACAACAACTAATGATATTGATTTGGAAATTTCAAAATACAATCCAGTCAGAAGGCATTTTGTTTTTGTGTAGTGATGTTTATWTAATTCTGGAAGTTATGGAAAACTGCCAGAATTATGACCTCTTAATGGGCTTTGTAGATATAAATGGTGACACTGCCATTATGGGGGGGGGGGGGGGGGGAAGTATTTGGATGTATTGCACTACTAAAATATGAACAAGGCTTTTTGATCTGTTTTGTTTCAGCCTGCTGCTGTTCAGCTCCATAATAGCTTTCCACACTAAAATTAGGTGGTAGAGGATATAAATATTTATATCTCAGTTTCAAAACAGATCAGAAATGCCAGATCATCTGTCTAAATCTCCCAAGAGTCTTACTTAAGACAACACTACTGAAGATGCAGGCACTGGGAACAATATGCCACTGAACATGGAGTAGGATGTTAAAACTTAGAAAAGACCATGAATCAGATGCAAAAGTTCACTTGAAAGTCAGTCACAATGGGTGGAAGTGATGAAAAAAAAAATCTGTGTTATTCTGGGAAACTGGATAATGATGTAGCTATTATTCTGCCAAGAGAATACATCTTTGTCTAAACTTACCCCTCTGCTAGCCATTAGGAAATCAGGCATACATTTTTTTCAGTAAATATCCCGTGTGTCTTAAAAGAGGCATAGGTTATTTATATGAAATAAAAATACAGAGGCAAATACAGTGTTTTGGACAAGATACAGAAGCTGCAGAATTATGATATTAAATTTGTCTTGGCTGATTATTGCTGTATTCTGGAATACATTTTTTATATGCCTGTTTGCAAATGAGTAATGCTAATGCAGTTTCTTGACAGGATTCAATGTCAGTTTTGGAAGGCTGAGACATTTATTGAATATTTTAGGTAATTCATGATTTTTTTTTTCTTGTGACACTGACAAGGGATATTTCCATCTCCACATATTTGAAGTGATCCTGCAGTTAAAATATGGAGTTTGCAAAACAAAACATAAATAAGAAAACACTCAATAAAAAACAGTTGATAAGCCCTATATGTTTCTAATATCTTTACCTGTGTAGCTGCAGAAGAAATAAGGCCTACATAATACATATTTTTACTCAAATACATATTTATCCCTTCATTTGTAAATGTACTGCGTGGGAGTCCATCCTAGTAATTGTTGCACAGTTGTGCAATCTCAAATGAACCTGATAGAGGAGTGGTAATCTCAAAGATACTTCAGTCTTTTAAGTGGTATGAAATCACGATGGGTGAAGAAAAGGAATGTGTTATTATTGGTACCTCCATTGAAAGAAAGGTGGCAATATTAATGCAGAACACCTAAGAATCCTGCAAGAAGAGGAACATTCARCTGTAGGAAAAGCCTTGGTCAGAAGAAATTAAGCTACTAATTTTTTTAATACTTGTTTCGAACCATAGATGCTGGGCACTCTGGAGAATTAAGCTGTTGGAGCACTGTATCTGAAGAAAGACTGGAATCAGAATGTGAAGTCCAGGACTCATTTTTCCGCAGAGACCTTGCTTAAGATGAAAGGCTTCTCCCACTTTATTGTTCTATCAAACTGGTACAGCATGTGCACCCTGCCTGCCTTGCTGATGAGCTSTAGCACAGCGGATAGAAAGTGCTCATTTACTGCACAGACAGCTTCTGAGGGTCTCTGCTGCAGCTCACACTATTGCAGAGAAAATGCCACATGCTGGCAAAGTTCATCCTTACTCTAACTCCATTAAAGTTAATGGGTTTACTCCAGAGATGAAGATAGCTCCTTGAATCTGGGTGAAAATGAAAGATGACATCCTTTAAGGGAGCCTAGAAATGGCTGAAATGAAATCAGAAACTGTTTATTCCTGTATTCCTGGGCCAGGAGCTTCTTTTCTTTTTTTTTTTTTTTTTTTTTTTTTTTTTTTTTTTTTTTTTTTTTTTTTTTTTTTTTCAGTTTCTGTTTGAGCATGTGCTGCTTCCTCTTTCTGCAGCCCACTGCCTCTATCTCACTCTCGTTAATCTTTCTACTGGAAAAAAAAAAAATCTTTTTTTTTTTTCCCCCAGCTGAAGCCTTTCTTTCACTAGAAAAAAATACCCTAATACTTTCTTGATTCTCAGTCTACACTAGGACCGGTACTGCCATATGTGATAATAATTAAATGAAACAGATCTAATAGCTGGCTCTTGCCTACCTAGGTTTATTTGACAGTGGGCCATCAACTGAAAGAGCAGGAAGAATTGGCTTTTAAGAGTAGATACGTCTCCAGTCACCAACYTCTTGATTTTTCTCCTAACTTCTCTCTAAGCCTTGGCTTGCGCTTGCCAGGGCTTCTGTTTTCATGATCCTTCTAGAATTTTTGCCATTGGAATTTCTGCCGTCTCCAGGCTGCTGCAGAACCCCTGCTGGGACACACCAGCAGCCCGGAGAGGCCAAGTCTACCATGGAGGCTCCAACTCACTGGGCACCCCTCAGTGGGTCGTGCCGTCTGGCTTCTGCATGAAGAGTCATCGTACCTCTGCGTGCTGCCAGAACATCGTCTCGTAGGTCACATAAAATCGCAGAAATTAGGGATGGGAAGTGAGTTTAGTTTTAAAACCTTTCCTGAGTGCAGGGCTGTGATAGTCCCTCGGGTCTTACGCAGCAGTACATGTCCATTTCGAAGTTAAGAGCTGGAGCCTTTTTGAAGTAGCTATTGCCTTTGAACTCAATATGCTGAAACAACATGAGCTGATTTATGTTAGGTGATACCTCATATATGACGTGTCTTTCTCTATACCACCGGTTCTGGAAAATGTGACTTTTCAGCTCAGACTACAGTCTTGTGTGTATAGCTCAGCAGTTACCTCCTTTAGTCTTAACTGTAGGACAAAATCACGGCTGTCACACCCCCTTAGGCATCTTTTAGCAAATTCAGTTAGAGATGTGAATATTCATCTGGAAAATACACTTCACAGTTCCTTACTGGTTGGCATCAAAACCGTGCCATCAAAACRATTGGTCTTTCCAGAAAAAACAGTGCAGCATGCAGTACCACGCAATGCATGGGCATTTCTTAAAACCTATGGAAACTTCTTTTATAAAGAATATATGGCCTGAGAGGATGTATGATTAGCAGTTCTGGCTGCAAACCTTTCAGAATTGCCCCAAAGTTCACTGTACAGGCGTATATAGTCAGCATGGCATTTGGCTGAGCTGTCTGGCGTGAGGAAATGGCAAGTTTCTTCCTTGAAGACTATGACAATAGGGGAGTGCGGGGCCAAGGTGTCATGTGTTGCAAGGACGGATGGACGTGCTAATTGTTTTTAAATACCAAGGCACTAATGGATAGTGGGAGGCTACACCCCCATCAGAACTATTGCCTGGAAATTGCTCTCTTGCCATTTCCTAAGAGGAAGGTTGGAGTGTTTCCCTGTCTTTCCTATATTGATCTCTCCTCTCCTGAGTCTAGCTCTTCTATAAACACTCATCAGGATGTCTAGCTAAGCTCTAGTCCCTCCTATATTTAAAGAACAACTGTCTCTCGCACTGAACATGTTGTCAGGTCTGCCTGTGGTCCATGTAGAAATGAGAGAGGAAAAGGAGGCTCTAGGTACCACACTAAGATAATGGTAAAGAAAAAAATCCCTTAAGAAACGACCCACTGTCACAGGGCTGGCTGCATAAAACTGAGGGCATCTCAGGTCTGATTTGGGAGCCCTGGGAGCCTTTCTAGAGGATATGACTCAGGACACGGAGCAAATGAAAGTCCCTGACTCCAGTGGGCACTGCCACGGTGCTGTTTGCCCTGGCCTTCCTTGGTCGTGTTCCTGACGCTTGCAKTGGCCTCCTTTGGAGCTACCCCTTGGGCCCCGTTCCCCTCAGACACTGCACTGTCCYCTGTCCCCTCCTCCCCAACGCCATCCTGGCATGTCGGCACCCTCCATCTCAGAGGCTGGGGTTTTGCTGGGTGTGAGAGGCCGGCGGCGGGGGCTTTGTGCTAACGTGGCGCGGGGTTTGTGCCCGCAGGGTCGCCGGGGCGCAGGCGGCAGGGACGGCGGGGCCGCGCTCCCTGCCARGGTGCACGCGGATGCCCGGCTTCCTCGGCGCAGGTAGGGCTCCCRTGGGGACGCGACGGAGCCGCCTGGAGCGCAGGCCTGGCCTCCAGGGGCACATAACCTGCCTGGGAGGCAGTTACTCCCCTGCAGGTGGATATACCCCCTGGGAGGGGGGTGGCAATTAACCCCCTGGAGGCAGTTAACAGCCTGGAGGGGGCAGTTCACCCTCACCATTATCCACCCCATTCACTCTCCCCCAGCCTGGGATGGGGCAGTCAATCCACGTGGRGGGAATTAACCCATACAGGGGCCCATTATCCCACATGGGGGCCCATTTTCCACTCTGAGGGGGCATTAACCTTTCCCAGCAGGGCAGTTAACCCACACGGGGCCAATTATCCACTCCCCTTGAGGGGCAGTTAAACCACATGGGGGCCACAATCCACCATGGGGGAGGGGGTCATCAACCCTTCGGC